CCCACTGTGACCCATCCACCAGTGAAGAAGCCCACCGGTGGGGTCCTGCAGGGTTAAAGAGGTCAGGAAGTTTCTGGACCACAGCGGGGACGGAAGACCAATAAGGGCACTGCATCTCTTTGTGAGTCAACTATCACCGGAGTCTGCAGCCGCCTTCAGAGCATCAGCGTGTTTTTATTCTTCAGCAGCTCGACCGTTAACGGTGTTCACACATCACTATGCGAAGAGGCAGAACGCCTCTGAAGAGCCTGGAAACTGTGGGCATGTGTGCGTGACGTACACTCTCGGCTCTGACTGGTCTGTTTTCACTTTGCCACCATACCGGTGCTGTTAGCTGTTTTTTCCACTCATGACTCCTGGTAGCTTGTTAAAGTTCTATTGGCCAATCAAATATGGAGGAATAGAAATCTATCTGTAATGTCGTCCTGATTGGAATCTATTCTGCACAACATCTGTTTCCTGTCGGTCCTGAAAGATCAATCCCCTGTTTTCCTGTTACAAGGGGAAAATCAAGGATCTAAGGACAGAACTGTAAGGACTCTACGTACCAGGGGCGTCATTTTGTGTTCAATCCACCAACGCGTCCCTGAGCAAGACCCTTAACCCCTCATTGCTCCAGAGATGTGCAGCACCAGTCAGTAACTTTAACAACTTCTAGACCAAGTTGTCCGTTCTCTCCCTGTGAACGTGACCTGGGCTTGACATTATTTTTTTTGCTCACTAGCTAATGTGTCTAGTGATTTTCCAAAGTTACAAGCCACACAGCATTTTCACTAGCCAAATTTTTGTTTTTGGGAAATTACGTTTTATATGATTAAAGTTGACAATGACGTGCTAAAATGTACTAACATTATCATTAGCTCTGATAAGGTTGTGTGTAAAGCTCCTTTTTTGAAAACATGTCTGTTAAAAATCAACTCTGGAAAGGCAGTTGTGATATGATGATTTCATGATATAAAGGCAGCCCTGCTAGTAGTAACACCACGTCCCTTAATCATGAATACATCTGTAATGTTGCAGCATTTAAGGGCACTTTCCTCCTTTCTTTATCTCAGCTCTGTCTTTTCTCTTTCTCTCGTTCTGCTGTGCATTTCTTCTTCACTGCTCGGCCACGCACGCTCACGCACTGACTGACCGCTGTGTTGATGTGTGTGTGCGCCATCAGTCGCGTGTGATGACAGAGATCATCAGGTGAAAAGCAGATGGGAGTCTACAGGTCTCAGGGAGTGTGGCTGCTCTGTGACAGATTCAACTTTTCTATTCTCTTTGACAAAAGTCTGGATGTCATGTTTGGCGTGTGCACCCTCGCGAGAGAGGTGAGAGTGCGAGACGCGGCGGTTGTGTGGATTCCCGTGATATTAAAAAAGCTTGCTTTGTCTTGTTTGCAGTGTCGTTGGTCAGTAGCGCGCAAGACAATAGGCTTCACTAATGGACCAATGAGCAGATGTGCATGTAGTAGTCATGGGAGTTGTAGTGTCGTAGTGTCACGTTGCATGTCGTTTGTTATTTCAGTCTTTTGACAAGACTACATGCCAAAGTGGCTAGTGGGAGTGACTGTGTTACGAAATCCACCCGCATTTGGCGGGTTGGCGGGTGTTAATGTCAAAGCCCTGAACATGACAAAAGAGGAGGGAAGACTAAATCATGCCTGCATGTGTGTTGCCTGAGCAGAGATGATGTTACAGGAGAAAAGTTAATCAACAGATCTGAAAGCAGCACAGAATGACTCTTAGATTCTGTTTTGTTTATTTGTTTCCTTTTACACGAATAAAATCATTTCCAACATAAATTGGTGCAGAAACTTTCACCAGAATGCAGGAAATGAAGTGTTGTGGGCCCTGCAGAGCTCATCTATCTCTGCATTGAGGATGAGGATAAGACACGTGCCTTTGGCCTGAGAGCCCCGGGTTTGAATCCACTATGAGACACCAGTGTGTCCCTGAGCAAGACACTTAACCCCTCGTTGCTCCAGAGGCGTGCGACCTCTGACATGTAGCAGTTGTAGCAAAGTGGCTTTGGATAAAAGCGTCAGCTAAATGAATAAATGACGTTTTCCTAAACCTAACCAACGTTTCTGAGAGTCTAACCGTTGCATATTTATTGTTGCTAACTTGACTGCGGAGCCCTGCACGTCGAAATACAACGCTAAAGGGAACCCAGGGCTTCAAAAAGCGTCTGTATGTGAGGAGTTGGGAGTGAGAATGTGTTGGCTGTGAAAGCCCCTCAGGGCATAGCTATTTTAGATTTGCAATATTAGGAATTTATAAATACAATTGACTTGACAAGTTTACAGAAATTGAGGGAGGAAAGTAAGTAAGATAATAATAAAAGAAACCAAAGGAATGAAACAAAAAGCAGAAAGACTTCCTGGTACCAGTGTTGTGTTAGTTTCCCTCTGGCGGCTCACTGCTGTCTTAATTAGCTCGTTTCACTGAGCGCTTTCAGCGTTTGTCAGCAGCTTGTTCATCTCAGCACTGCTCTGTCCATTAAAGACTCCTGCAGGACACGTTCACTGAGGCTGGGAAACTCCAGCTTCAGGCTGTGAAGTGAACGCAGCACGAAGACGCACAGAACCAAACGTCCTTTGGTAACACAGCTCTGCAGACTGCGTGCACAAAGCTGCTTCTATATTCACGCAGAGCAGCAGGACTGATGCTGCAGCTGAAAAGCTCTCACATCTTTTTCAAGCAGCAGCAGTGACATTAACTGTGACAGAAAGCTGGAAATGGACCACAGACTCAACCAACGCAGATGCTACTATCCATTTAACTCCAGGAACCATCAGAACGGAGAGAACAAATGTGCTCCCATTTCCTGCAGCTCCTGTAACGCGGCTACAGAGAAACGACTGTAACTGCTCCAAAGGCCATTTCTGATTAGGGAAATTGTGATGGTTTCTGCATCTAATGGCACCGGAGACCAACACAGACTGTTAGCAGTGTGCTCAGCAGGTAGCTGGGAAAATACATCTCATTTGGCCGCTGTGGGTTTTTGTCAAACATCCAGCTGTTGTTTCAGCCCTCTTTTCAAAAAGCAGACCCATTTCCCTAAACTCTACACACAAATCCCTTCATTTCTCACAGCCTGCACCATGTGGTCACTGAGGAAACACTAACTAACAATACTGTTGACTGAAGTCAGCTACCCAGGTACCCCACACCAACCAGAAGCTTCACCAGGCAGATAAAAGGGCGGAAGAGGTCCAGGACACCAGAGAGGAGGAAGAAGAGCAGTATGGAGAGGGGTACAGTAGGAGCTGGAGGAGGAGACTGGACAGGAGGAAGATGAGGAGGAGGAGGAGGACAGGATTCTCCGGCCTGTCCCAGACCAAAGGAAAGATACTGGGGCAGAATTAGAGGTGCAATAACTAATCAACGTAGTCGACAAAAATCGATTATTAACTCTGTTGCCAACTAATTTAATAATCTATCCGTTCATGACGTCATCGGGCCCATTTATACTCCTTTATACTTGTACGTAGGTAATTTATTAGACACCACCGGACACAGTTCTCTTGTCTTGAGGCTAATCCGCCCCAGACTCCCTCACAGAGTTTTGTGAGTTGTTGAGTTGGGGATGTTGTCAATGTTGTGAAACGCTGTCTACTACAAAATCGTTATTATTGGTTCTCTCTTGTAAATTTGGCCAATGTAACACGTGACGTTATTCCCGTCTTTGTATAAATATAGTGTCAGTTTGTCCCGGAGTGCAGTACTGCCGTGTGAACTGCTCCGTCCTGAACAGCAGATCAGCTGCTCAGACCTCCTGTTGCTGCAGCAGAAACTTTCATTAAAAGATTGATGGATTGTTAATTAGCACATGCCCAAGACAACTAAGTTTATTTTAAAAGCTGAATGAGAGGCATTGGTAATTTTGTGATTCGTAATCCGAACAGTTGATCATTCGTTTCAATAATCGATAGATTAATCGAAAATAGTTGTTAGTTGCAGCCCTGACAGAATAATGAGTAGTTTGTGTTGTACTGTACAGCACACTAAGGAATAAAAAAAGAGCGAGTGTATACATGTATTTGTTGTTTCTCTTTTCTGAGGAGGAAAACCACAAGCAACATTACTAAAAACCAGTTTTTGTAGTATTGTTTTGAATTTATCTCTCCAGTGTGTCAGACTGTTGTAGTTTGTGTTTCTGAGGGCAAAGTTTGGTTTTTCAGCAAGACTGAATGGTTTTGAGTGGAGAGCTTCATTTTGACCTGAAAACAGGATTTTTGGGGAATTGGGTGAGAAGTTTTTGATTTGTGTTTAGAGTTTCGAGAAAAAGAAATGTGTATGAGAAATCGAGAAAAACTGTAACAGGTTTTAAGAATGTGGGACGACATACAGACATAACGACAAATATTTAACGCACGCGGCAGACGCTTCAGTCCAGACGCAGGACCACACTCTGCGTTTGTACTAAACGGTTTCAGAGCAGCGGTTTTGGAGACTCGGGATCTCACAGAATCTCACGTGATCAAACGTGACAGGAACAAACACGGAGGCAGACTGTCGTCATCAGCTGGTCGACCTTGTGTGTGAACTGTGGATGAACTCGAGGCTGAGGAGAGGGAATCAGCAGGTTTCTACATTTTATAAAGCAGCTACACAACACGCTGCTCAGCTCACTCTCATTGGCTGTTAGGGGTTTCTGATTGGAGGCTCTTATCCAGTGGGCAAACTTCAGATTCTGTCTGTAAACAGGATTTGGGCCGGTAATCTGTTCAGGGCGAATCTGACCCAAAATATCCTCTAATATGCTATTGCTATATATATATATATAGTTTTTTTTGCACATTCCTTGTTAAATATCCTGTATATGTTTTGCATTTTGTGTATTATTTTGTATACTTGTACATTTTTCTTTACTTGTTTTATGTTTATGTGTAATGTATAGCACCAATAGCTACCAAAGCAAATTCCTCGGGTGGGAAAATGTACCTGGCAATAAACCTGATTCTGATTCTCTCTGATACACCGAGATGAACTCTCCACTCCTCTGCACAGCAGGCGCTGCTCACCCGCCTGATCGTCACACTGAACCTTTTCAGAATCTGAACCAGAATCAGCTTTATTTGCCAGGTATGTGCACACATACGAGGAATTAGTTTCAGGACTGTACTTTGCTCACGATGTGCTTACTCACACAATAATACAATAATAAAATCAGAAGCTTTTTCCACTTCATTCACTTCTCTAAACAGAACTACCAGCGTCAGCATCACTACAACAACCCAGCAGCGACCCACCTCCATCCACTGCCCGTGGGACTTCATCTTGAGGACCACGCAGGGGTCGGGTTTGGACAGAGCATCGCGGTCCGAGATCCCCTTGCAGGTGAGCCGCAGCTCCACTTTGGTCAGACAGGGGCTGCTGAACAAACCCAGGGAGTTGGCGGCGGACTCGTAGATGTCACTCATGGTGGAGGCGGGACAGGAAGTCTGCACAGGAGAGTGGATCAATAGAAAACAGTGTTTCACAGAGGAGCACATCACAGAGGCAAAGAAAGGAATTAGAATCACATTTATAACAAGGACAAATAAAAAGCAGAATAAAACCCACAAAGAGAGAATAAATGAGTTTTAGAAAATCCAGTCAGAGTGCAGCAAAAACCAACAAAGATAAAAATAAGTGCAGCAGAGAAACCGACCACTCAGAGCAGGAGAGCAGCAGAGTTGGGGTGCGTTCAAGGTCATCAGGGCGATAAAACGATAATAATATTTGAATCACAAATTATTCACACTTTATTTTTCTATTAAAATGTTTTTTTTGTTGAGGAAAAGGGACTGAAAAAAGATTTTATTGGTTGAAAACAGTTCTGAATGTTCTGCCTCAGATTTATGAAGCGACCCACTGTTTGTTCTGACTTTCACTCAGGAGCATAAATCAGCCTTTAAACTGAAAGAAACAATGATGTAACATTTATTCTGATTATTATTGATATCACATGATATGAATTTTATTTTTTATCATTGTCCGTATCACTCAGCCCTTTGAGATCATCAGGTAGTCGCCTCACTGACTGCTTCCTGAGGCTCCTGCTGTGTTCATGTTCTCCAAGAAATTTAATTAGAGTGATTCATAAACTGGCAGCAGCACTTTAAAAGCTCTTCTGTAAGCAGCTGGAGAGATTTAAGAGTTCTCGCTCTGACGGTCTTGTTGTTGAACACCGGAGCCGGAGACCGTTGACAAGCATTAAATATTAACAGTTTGATGCCCTTCCCACCCGCGAGCAGCCATTTAGAGCGAGCTGCACTGAGAGAAGCTGCTCTCGTGCCGACCGTCTCTGCGTAATGATATGAGGTAGAAACATTTCTGAAGTCTTCAGTGCAACACGAACCACTTACTCGACACGTATCCATACACTGTGGGAATATATCTTCTGATTGAACGTCATCAATATGCAAAGAATGAAAGTCAAATAATCACTGATGTTGCCATGAAACGCAAATCTTTTCATGTCTAATGATGGACAGTTGAGTGTGAGCCAGCTAATGGACAGCCTGAGAGCAGAAAGAGAATATGTAGCTATAGGAAGAAGACACCATTATCTCCAGAGAAGGAATAGACACCATTATGTTTAGAACAAGCCAGGAACTTTGAAATAATGGCGTCAAGGGGGAGCAGGATGCATTTGGAGAAGTGAAGCTCCCCAGTGAGGCCACAAAACATGTTTAAAATGTGTTACGGAGCCTGATCGGCTGCTTCCTGGGACCAGCTCACACTCACGTGTTCTGTTTTTCATTTACAGCAAACGTGTGTTGCATGGAACTATTTCACTCGAGTGTTTCACTGAAAAAAGAAAGTGTGTGAGAGGAGGTGAGGACGTCAACACTTCTTCATTAACACTTGAAGTCAATCCAGCAAAACGGCTCCACATAATTACACGCAGCTGCTTCAATGGAGCATTTATTCTGGAAATCTCCCATCAGACCGACAGTAGAAAAAGGTTTTCCCAGCACCCCCCTCAAACCCCTCTCCCCATCAATGTCTGCACAAAGTCTCTATTCCTTTATCACTTTAACATCTTGTTTATTCCCTGTTTTTATCTTTATATTTATATATGTTTATGTCTGGCACCTAGTCACAAAAGCAAATTCCTTGTACGTTTAAAAACTACTAAGCAATAAAGCTGATTCTGAATGCAGTCAGAGTTCAGTCACAGCAGCATCTAATGGAATTTAGAGGATCTGCAGACAAGCACAGGCGTCAATAACAACATCATGAATGGCTCTGTTCTGCTCAAGCGTCCCAGTGAGCCGTGGCAGCGTGAACCAGCATGCACAATACAAACTGAAGCAGCTTTTTGTTTTTCCACACCTGGGGCGACTCCAGCGGCTGCAGAAAGAAGTGTGATTGTATAGAAGTCTCTGAGAAAATGTTTCTACTTGTCAGCTGATTTATTCCCTCAGTAAACACTTTCCTGATGAGTTTATGGTCTGTCGCTAGTTTCAAGTCTTCTTCAACACAGCATGATGTTCATTTAGTAAATTATGGTCCCATTTAGAGGAACAGAGACCAGGAAGCAGGGGAGGCTTTAGGGCGGGGCTACAAGCTGACTGACAGGTCGCTACCATGGTGACTGGTATCTGCTGCTCTGTGTAAATTTAACCAGCGCTGCTGAAAAAGCTTATCAGGAGTCGGCCGCTCATTTTTCAGTAAGTACAATTTGTTTTAAGCCTGTTGGTTGCTTAACATTAGCATTAGCTAAACTTAGCATCCCAGCTAACACCACAGTTAATTACAGATGCACCTTGCTAACCAAGCTAACTGGCCCCACTCTCTTGCGGTAGGCTCTTGGGTGTGGCAATAGCCATCAAAGGACGATGGAAACGGCAAAAAAGTTTTTACGCTCACTTGAGGTGTTTTTTGTAGAAAAAGAGTAAACGCACTAAACGGGAGATGGAAAAACTTTCTCCGAATAAGTTCTGACGTTGTAACTCATGACTGATCAGCTGTTTCTGCTGTTCTGCATTCCTGCCAAGAATTTTCTGCAGCTCGCGGCTGGTGACACTCATTTGTGCTGAGAAAAGAGGTGGATGCAGATCTGGGCAGGAAGCCTTCATCAGCTGTTCTGCTGAATGATGCGTTCACCTCTTAAAGGTCCTTCTCAGATCCTTTGCTCTGCACACTGATCAAACGGGGTTATCACTGCATGTTTTTGCTGAATCTCAGTGAATGCTGCTTCTACTGAGTGTAATAAAATATTAACGACTCTAAATGTTCATAAAATAAATACTTTGAATCATTTATCACCGCTGATGAAGCCCACAAAGGATATTAGAGCGTTTAGCATGCAGAACTCTGCAGAACACCGGATATTCCCATAACGTGCGGAGACGTGGCTGGTAGCAGTTTGCCCGCTTGAAACACATTTCTGAGGACCTCTCTCTGTTTTTCTAAGATCAGTGGCCATCAGGTTCATGCGGCTGGTTTGGAACCCAGACGTCCTGTTTATTACAGCCATGTGTAACGTCAACTACTGACGTAACGACGCTCACTGTCGCCTGGTTTATTTGCTCCAAACCAGCTGATGGAAATGCACAGATAGTATCTCTTATTTCTTTTTTGCGACATTTCAAAAGTACGCTTAAAATTCGCATGACAATTAGATGGAAACACGGCTACTGTCGCAGTGGATAAGTCACATGCCGTTCGTTTGGGAGACCCAGGTTCAATTTCTGCTACGACACGTCCACCAAGGTGGAGCAAGACACTTAACTGCTAGTTGCCTTGTTGTGACCTCTATGACATATATGGCAATTGAAAAGTAAAATTTAATAGAAAAATATAATCTAAACTTGTCAGCTAAATGAGTAAACGTCTCGTCCAAATATGGTCACGTCCGGTGCCTGGTTGTAAAAATGGCGAACATGCCAGACTCCAGGCTTCCAAACAGCAGCCCACAGACCAACGGGGGACTTCTAGGCTGCCACGTCCACTTCTTTTATACAGTCTGTGGACATGTCAAAATGTCTTCCCGCTGCAGCTGACAGAATGTGAGGTTACACCAGGTCAGCCTGTTTGTAACCGACAGGCAGAACTTTAATAAAAGCTGTGTGGATGTGATCGTCTCATATCTGATTTGCATCTTATAATTGCACAGAGATTTGCTGTCAGGATTTGAATGGATGCAACCAGCAACCAGAACATGTGTGCTGAACAAGAGTTTAATTAAATTAGAATAACAGATTATTTTACCCTCGTGTCCTTTTAGTCATTACAGTCTTTTCGCTGCGCTTAATGAAACTACTCAGATTCAACAGGAAGAGTCTGATTATATTGTGAGGGAGAATTAAGGCATTATGTTCAAAATTATGTTCATTTGATTCATTAATTATGAGTTGATGTCTTTAACACACACACACACTTGTCTGCACATCCTGTCCACAGTAACCTGTCCTGTTGAGCAGCTTCTTCACCCGAGCTGTCAGGCTTTTGAAAACCCTGCCGCCATCCACTGCATGATCAACAAGCACCACCACCACCACCACCACCAACCTCCCTCTGCACCTAACGGCTGCTGCACTTCACGTTCAATTCAATTCACCAGCAATCAACAGTGGTGAGTACGTAAATAAAACTTGCAAAGCACATGATAAATAGGCCATAAACACACATACAAACATTTATGAATAAGTAAATCAGCCATTCATGATTCTGACGGATGTGGGCACAAAACTTGGCTCTCTTAGTCCTGAGAGTGAGAGATCTGTGCCTGAGGATGGGAGACTGTACTGGCTGTGCAGTGTGTGAGTGGCGTCTTTCAGTCCATTCCTTCTGTTGTAAATACTGAGAAGTGGTTCCTGCACCTGTCCGATTATTTGACTGCTCATTGTTATGATTTTGTTGAGCGGTTTGCGAAGGATCCAGGCTGATATTTTGAAGGTTATTACAGATTCAGTGAAACATTAGCTGTCAGCACTGACTGGTGAACCTGGAGTCTACAGAGCCTCCGCAAGAAAAAAGAGGCACTGCTGACACTCTAGCTGCACACTGCCCAGACAGTCCCCAACTAACACCAGCGTTATAAAGTTAGCAGTTATTAGTTATTAGAAAGTTCAGAAAACCTACTGTCAGTTCCACAGACAGGGTCTGTGGGAGACGCTCTGGGTGCGACACTCCCGTTAGCGTGTGTATGAGACACTAGCTAGCTAACTAGCTACATTCATGTTAAAGGTGTTGACAGCCTCCCGAAGCCCCCTACCCTTACTATAACCATCAGAAACGTTAGTACCTAAACTTAAGTCACCCACTTTATGTATGTCGACCGGCTAACCCTACAGCTACAGCTAGTAGGTAGGGTTTGCCTCCTTTGTGTTGCTACAATGTGGCAAACGGTGGCGTTTCATACGGACGCTGAGGGGTACCTTTAGCATAAAATAATTACGCTTTGTCCCGCTGTCTGAAACCGGCGGTAATGACGCACTGAGATGAGAACCAGTTGTAAAAAAAGGTAAAAAATGGTTGTGCTCTGTAAGTGAAAAACAGGTTACAGTTACAGAATCCCTTATAGCTCTGCAGTTTTATAATCAGCCTGGATTGAACGCAGCAGCTGATCCAACATTCATTATAACCACGAGAGACTCGACTTGGACTCTAGCTCAGAGACTTGACTTGGACTCTAGCTCAGAGACTTGACTTGGACTCTAGCTCAGAGACTTGACTAGGACTCTAGCTCAGAGACTTGACTTGGACTCTAGCTCAGAGACTTGACTTGGACTCTAGCTCAGAGACTTGACTTGACTTGGACTCTAGCTCAGAGACTTGACTTGGACTCTAGCTCAGAGACTTGACTAGGACTCTAGCTCAGAGACTTGACTTGGACTCTAGCTCAGAGACTTGACTTGGACCTCGACTTGACTTGGACTCTAGCTCAGAGACTTGACTTGACTTGGACTCTAGCTCAGAGACTTGACTTGGACTCTAGCTCAGAGACTTGACTAGGACTCTAGCTCAGAGACTTGACTTGGACTCTAGCTCAGAGACTTGACTTGGACCTCGACTTGACTTGGACTCTAGCTCAGAGACTTGACTTGGACTCTAGCTCAGAGACTTGGGCTTGACTTGGACTCTAGCTCAGAGACTTGACTTGGACTCTAGCTCAGAGACTTGACTTGGACTCTAGCTCAGAGACTTGAGACTTGACTTGGACTCTAGCTCAGAGACTTGAGACTCGACTTGGACTCTAGCTCAGAGACTCGACTTGGACTCTAGCTCAGAGACTTGAGACTTGGACTCTAGCTCAGAGACTTGAAACTCGACTTGGACTCTAGCTCAGAGACTTGAGACTTGGACTCTAGCTCAGAGACTTGAGACTTGGACTCTAGCTCAGAGACTTGAGACTCGACTTGGACTCTAGCTCAGAGACTCGACTTGGACTCTAGCTCAGAGACTTGAGACTTGGACTCTAGCTCAGAGACTTGAAACTCGACTTGGACTCTAGCTCAGAGACTTGACTTGGACTCTAGCTCAGAGACTCGACTTGGACTCTAGCTCAGAGACTTGAAACTCGACTTGGACTCTAGCTCAGAGACTTGACTTGGACTCTAGCTCAGAGACTCGACTTGACTTGGACTCTAGCTCAGAGACTCGAGACTTGACTTGGACTCTAGCTCAGAGACTTGAGACTCGATTTGGACTCTAGCTCAGAGACTCGACTTGGACTCTAGCTCAGAGACTTGAGACTCGACTTGGACTCTAGCTCAGAGACTTGAGACTCGACTTGGACTCTAGCTCAGAGACTCGACTTGGACTCTAGCTCAGAGACTTGAGACTCGACTTGGACTCTAGCTCAGAGACTTGAGACTCGACTTGGACTCTAGCTCAGAGACTCGACTTGGACTCTAGCTCAGAGACTTGAGACTCGACTTGGACTCTAGCTCAGAGACTTGACTTGGACTCTAGTTCAGAGACTTGAGACTTGACTTGGACTCTAGTTCAGAGACTTGAGACTTGACTTGGACTCTAGCTCAGAGACTTGAGACTTGACTTGGACTCTAGCTCAGAGACTTGAGACTTGACTTGGACTCTAGCTCAGAGACTTGAGACTTGACTTGGACTCTAGCTCAGAGACTTGAGACTTGACTTGGACTCTAGCTCAGAGACTTTTAAGCATCTCTGGATGGGGCCTCAGTGGAACAACTAACTACAACGGTTTTGGTGAACTTTAATTTGGTTTCTGTGGAGCCTGAATCAAGTGTGTTTGACGACAAGTTAACGAGGCGATTAATTCTGTGAAAGAGAGAAACTTGAATTCGGAAGATGTGCTGTTGTATTTTTCTGTTTGTTGAGGAACAGCTGTAAGAATATTTCTTGACATTTTGTGAGTTTATTTAATTTTTGTATGAGATGAACATCTCCCAGTTGAAACTACGGGGTGGTCGAGCCGTTGGGGCTTGCTGGTTAGCATGCTAACTTCAGCAGAAATCTCTGACACGACATCAGATCTGTTACTACTTCAACTAACACAATGAACTTTTTTCTCCTCAGTCCGACAGACGTGTTTGCCCTCTTGCACTTTTTATCAGCGGAAACACTCTGAGTGCAGCATGTCCAGCGTCGGTGTGTGATTGATCTCTGATCTCACACAGCAGCTTCGGGCTCATCGCCTCTATCATCTGATAGAAACCCTGGATGATAACCTCCGCCCTCACAGGAAACCATTTCTGCTGTGTCTGGAAGAAGCAATCGTATCTCCACCTCCATCTCCAGCACTTCACCTCCCTCCATTATCCCATCAGCAGCACTCCGGCTCATCTGATTAACCCCCGGCAGCATCCGGTCGCCTCCAACAGGCCGTCAGGATTCTTGTCTACAGGAGGAAGTTATAGATATCCGCCAACGATATCTCCAACGGCTCGGGTTGCACGGGATGTAAAGGCAAAGAGAAGGTTCACTGTTAGAGTCCAGGGGTCTCATTTATAAAACTGTGCGTAGGAAAGAGAAAATAAAAATTTTTAATTAAAGGTTGTGTATGCAGCGTTTTTAAATGAGACCTTTTAACAGCAGACCACAGATCAGTTCTCTTAACTGAACTTCAGAGGGTTTCGCTTTTCACCACTCTGCATGCTGCTGCTGGAGAAAGGGAGTAACAGTAACCGGTGTCCCTGAAATCCCTTCTCAGACCGATCAGAGGCAGGTTCCTCTGTTTCTTCTCTCAGATGGAGTCTTTTGGAGGTCAAACTGTCACAGTCTTCTTGGTGTTTTGGGAGTTTGATGTCTTCTTTAAGCCCTTCCGCTTTTGTTTTGTTCCTTATGTTCATTCGTTCTGCTTCCTGTCTTACTTTGAAATCGTTCTTTCTTGTGTGTCTCATGCTGCTTTTCCTCCCTGTCTTTCCCTCGATTGTTTGCACCTGTCTCCTTCCCCAGATTATGATCACTTGTGTCTCGTTATTCTCACCCCTCCTGTGTATATTGTCTGTCAGTTGTTAACTGTGTGCTCGTTGTTCACCACTGTCTTCACCAGTGTTTGACTACCACCCACAGCTGTGCTCTCCAGTGTCTCGTCTTGAGTCTTGAGTCACCTTTTGGTCTCTGGATTTTACTTTTTGTTCCACAGACTGTATAAAAGAAGTGGACGTAGTCATCGTAATGTCGCCCGTTGGTTTGTGGATTGTCATTTTGAAGCCTTGAGTTTGGCCGTGTTAAAGCCTCCCCTACTTCCTGGTCTCTGTTCCTCTAAATGGGACCATAATTTACTAAATGAACATCATACTGTGTTGAAGAAGACTTGAAACTAGAGACTGAGACCATAAACTCATCAGGAAAGTGTTTACTGAGGGAATAAATCAGCTGACAAGTAGAAACATTTTCTCACAGACTTTTATACAATCACACTTCTTTCTGCAGCCGCTGGAGTCGCCCCCTGCTGGCCGCTAGAGAGGACGCAGGTTTAAGGCGCCCCCTGCTGGCCGCTAGAGAGGACGCAGGTTTAAGGCGCCCCCTGCTGGCCGCTAGAGAGGACGCAGGTTTAAGTCGCTCCCTGCTGGCCGTTAGAGAGGACGCAGGTTTAAGGCGCCCCCTGCTGGCTGCTAGAGGACGCAGGTTTAAGGCGCCCCCTGCTGGCTGCTGGAGAGGACGCAGGTTTAAGGCGCCCCCTGCTGGCCGCTAGAGAGGACGCAGGTTTAAGGCGCCCCCTGCTGGCTGCTGGAGAGGACGCAGGTTTAAGGCGCCCCCTGCTGGCCGCTAGAGAGGACGCAGGTTTAAGTCGCTCCCTGCTGGCCGTTAGAGAGGACGCAGGTTTAAGTCGCCCCCTGCTGGCCGCTAGAGAGGACGCAGGTTTAAGGCGCCCCCTGCTGGCCGTTAGAGAGGACGCAGGTTTAAGGCGCCCCCTGCTGGCCGCTAGAGAGGACGCAGGTTTAAGTCGCCCCCTGCTGGCCGTTAGAGAGGACGCAGGTTTAAGGCGCCCCCTGCTGGCCGTTAGAGAGGACGCAGGTTTAAGGCGCCCCCTGCTGGCCGCTAGAGAGGACGCAGGTTTAAGTCGCCCCCATGCTGGCTGCTGGAGAGGACGCAGGTTTAAATCGCCCCCTGCTGGCCGCTAGAGAGGACGCAGGTTTAAGTCGCCCCCATGCTGGCTGCTGGAGAGGACGCAGGTTTAAATCGCCCCCTGCTGGCCGCTAGAGAGGACGCAGGTTGAAGTCGCCCCCTGCTGGCTGCTGGAGAGGAAGCAGGTGTCAGACCGGAAGCTTCCAGCTTGATCTGGGTCCAAAACCTCTGTACTCCATGCCTGCACCAGGGCTCTTAAAACTTAAAACACATTATTGTCTTTTAATTTACTGAAACACACCAAACCTGCATCTAAGTCGAGTGTCCTCACCGTACAATGGCCTTTTAAGATATAAATCTTGGTGGCTTTTGAGTTACATTACAATCCATTAATTTATCCATTAATCATCATCATAATATCCAATTAAAAAATCCACGATTACATCCTTTTAACAGGCAACTCAACCATTTCATGTTAAAGAAGAATCAGAGTTAATCCAAGCAAATGCACAAATGTCAAGTAATAGTTTATTAAACCACAATATGTGTTTCAACATTTATATATTGATATGCTAACAAGCTAAATGTTACAAATGTTTGAAAGTTATCAAAGAGAGAACTTTATTATTGATAAAATCATAAAATTCTGATGTAAAGCTCATTAATCTTTTAAACTTGTGCTCTCTGTTAGCTTAGTTTGGGAAACCACAAACACAGAAGGCTTCTACAGCAGCTGTGATCAGACTAAAGTACAAGAAAGTGACAAGAAAGTATCACAACGTCCATCAAAACTTCTTAAAACAACCGTGAACACTCTCTACCTTCCGCTCTCCGTCTGCATCCTCAGTTCGTTACAAACATTCAGACTTCAGAGACAGACAAATGGCTTCTCCTGACAATAACGCAGCAGTCTTACTTTGGGAACAGCAGCCCTTTAATAAATTAAAGTTACAAGACAAAGTACTTCTCTGTTGTCAGTGTGTTCATCAGGGAGCTTACATGAACTTAAAGAGCCGGGCTGCAGTCGTCTTCCTGCAGTAATCAAACCGGGTTTCCTGACTCAGTGTCTGCTGGTTAAACACAGTTTCTCTGCCATGTTTGCATTTAAACAGGTTTCAACTTGGTCTTTTTCATGTGAGTATGTGCAGGCAAAGCCTTCAGACAGTGAGAGCATCACTGGGACAGAAGAGTCTCCGCTGCAGGACGTCTGACTGATCAGATGTCCTGACAGATCAGCCTGACGGGGCCGATCAGTTTTCTGCTCCGTTCATTTGCGGTGATGAGCCGATGTTTGTGCTGAAACTCTGTTTAACCATCACCATCTGGATTCCTGCATCCCTCTGCGCCATACGGCTCCTCCTCATGCGCAGTAAACACGTCTTGTAATAGCTCAGTGGGGGCAGGATCAGGCCAAACTCGCTGCATCAACATCACAATAAAACACATTCAGTTAGAATAATTAACACCAACCTGAGATAAAACAACCCAATAAATTAGTCAAAGAGCCGCTCACACACCTCAGGACATAAGCTAAAGCAAGCATCAGAGCCTGCCTCTCCTCCAGGAGTCCACCATTAATACCATTAAGACCTGTCCTCCCTCCACAGTGCATTACAGCAGCCCCGTCAGAAGGGTTTGCACACGCTGTGTGGAAAAGCCATTGTATGCCAACATGATCGTGTCTGTGATCATGTGTACAGAGTACACAGAAGTATTGAAATAGTTTACTTAAGTAAAGGTAATGATATTGTATTATTCTTTTATAATGCGTACATATTGCTTATTCCACATTTTTGCATTTATATTTATTTACATAGGTTTATGTCTGGCACCTTCTCACCAAAGGAAGTTCCTTGTACATGTTAAAATTACTAAAAATACTCTCCTAAAAGTTTGATCCCCCCCGATTGTCACTGTATAATTCACACTGAGTCACGTTTTGAATATTGTAATATTCTCTGCTGCATTTCTGCTTCTGTTTATTCACTACTGTTCATCAGAATTTTGTTAACAAAGTAAATATTGTACAAATCCATTTTATATTTTGTCTTTATACTTTGTATATTTCTTTACCTACCAACTTCCATAATTATTCCTATTCCTTTAATGCCACAAAAATGTCCCCACAGGGATCAATAAAGCGTTTCTGATTCTGATGGCAGGAGGTTAGGTGTAGGAAAATATATTTTTTAGGGCTTTTCAGCATTTACTTTTGGCAGGACGGCTCAAGAGGGACAGGAAAAGTTAAAGAGAGAGGTGACGACATACAGGAAGTGGTCACAGGTCGGATTCAAACCTGGCCCGGGCTTTGTACGTGGGACGCACACACTAGCGATGATCTAGCCGGCGCCCCAATAACTCAACTTTTACTTGTTTCACATTGGACTCAAACGCCGTTCTCCTGTGTGAAAGTCCTGGGTTCGACCCGTCCACCTCCTTGAATGGACGCTATTTTTAATTTGTCACCTGGTTTCCTCCTGTGCTGCTGTCGTTCAGCCACTAGAGGTCGCTGCCACGATAACTATAAATATGGTTTGTAAAGCTATGGTCCGTGTTTCAGGTGAGGCCCTTGTTTTTAAATATTTTATTTAAGGTGATTTAGAATTATGGTTTTTGGCAAATTGCGTTTAGCACTGAAAATGAATTAACCCCTGCAGAAACTAATTAAAGAGAGACTTTTTGGTACTGTAAATATAAAACATGATTCTTTTTTTTGTGTGAACCTTGTTCCATCCCTCATGCCTGAAGCTCGTCATCAGCCTCCTGTAACCTGAAGGCGGCCGCAGAGCGAAGCCATTTCTGCTGTAAATTGCAGTGTGGGCTCAGCAGGTGGATGTTGGGAGGAGGTGGAGAGTTTCACGGGGGCCCCGCTGAAGCTTCACACGACAGCGTTCGGCTGTTCAGTCAAGCAGCAGATGAAGCCTCCCACCAGCTGAGGCTCGCTGCACGCCGACATCCAACAGCAGATTAAAGAGCTGCTCGTCGCACAGACGCAGCACTACAGCACAGTTAATAATTCATGTCATTCAGAGGCTCAGCGCTCTGCCCGCTGCTTTCTGCTCACAAACAAACAAAATGTTTGTGGTGAACAATAAAAAGGATCAGAGCTTCATGCAGACTGCAGAGAGACAGGAGACTGTTTCAGTTTCTGTCCTAGTGGCTGAACCTGCCTGCAACAACAACCACAGCCTCCCCCACAGCCCAGACATCATTTTCATAGTCTCATCACATGTGGACGTTTGGTCAAGACCCCTTGGCGTCTCTTGTGAACACCTGAGTACCCTTTAAAGCCCCGGATATACTTGCTTTTATCTACACGTTCGCGTACTAAAGATGGCTGCCATGCATATCCTGCATTCCTTTGGAGCGTAGGTCGTGCACGTCCCCAGGAATTAACGGTATGCGTCCGCGAGATGCAGTTCAGCAAATGAACGTGGGGGCAGTGTGTCGATCTGACCGGCAGGTCAGCAGCGATCTCCTGTTCCACACAGCAGACAGGTGGTGGCGTTATGCAGTTGGTTTGCCAACCGCCATTAAACGCAGAAGAAGAAGAAGAAGGTCAGCGGCAGACTTAATAAAGGAGATTTATTATTTATGGCAGGATGTTTACAGTAAAACTCCTGGAGCCAGTCCACAGTTACCGAGATCGTTATGATGGCTCATTAAAATCACAACCTGCTCGAGTGTCGCCATGTTTGGTTTGTTTACGATGTGCAAACACGGAGGTTGTCAAAGGAAGATGATCCGGTTCTGGTCTGCCCCCTAGTGGATTCAAGTTTAATCCTCCAGGTACACGTAAAGTACGGCGGCCAGTATGTGAACAATGCCGTTTGCGTTGCCGACGCCTCTCTGCGCCTACGCACTGTTAAAAAGAGAGTGGATCTGGGGCTTAACGAGTCCTGTTTGTACCTCAGCCTGATATCTCATCTTCCTCTGAGCTGCAGAAACCATTAAACCCATCAGAGAGCCTCACTGCGACACCGGGTCACATGTTCCTTCATTCCTTATTCTGACTCGGTCCCACATTCACCGTCCTGCTGCCCCAAACACTCACTACAGCACCACGTGTGGATTCATCCGCCGCTCAGAATAGTCCCCAACAGATACTCTGTCTCCTCCTGTTTGTCTGATCGGAACTACAGCGAGCAGCTGAGCCTTTTTTAA